CGGTCCAGCCCAGGATGCCGCACGAGAGGGCCCAGGATTCCGCAAACTCTGAATCCACAAAAGACCCACCTGCCCTCTGGGCGTAGGTGGTTTAACGAGCTCTTGCTTCCCTCGTCCGCAGCCCCATCTGCCCCTCGGGGGGAGGGGTGCCCTCCCGCTCCCCTGCCTGGGTGTTTTTGTGTGTGTGTGGGGTTCGCGAGGTGGCTGAGGGTCCTCTAGCGCCCAACATTGCTCCAAGAGGGCCCCGGATGCTCCAGATGGCCTCCAAGGCGGCTCCAAGATAGCCGAAGATGATTCAAGATAGCTTCCGACATATCTCAACGAGGCCCTACTAGAGCCACAAGGCGGTTCCAAGTGCTCTCGGAGCCCCCTCACGACCGCCCCAGGGAGGCCAAATTCATGTTCAAAAACCGATGCAACATCTACGTATGAGTCTTGCCTCTTGGCCGTTTCGTTTCCGATGCCCGTTGGATGCATCAGGATGGGCCCAAGATGGCCAAAAAGAGCCCCAAGAGAGTCCCAAGAGGCCCCGCAGACGGCCCCAAGAGCGCCCCAAGAGGGCCCCATGAGATGGTTCTGAGGGCTCTTGAGGAAAACCCTCGAGAAAAGGACCTCCACTTTTGATCGATGGCATACGTGATGGTCCAAAGACGCCCTCCAGGGCTCCCACAGGGCCCTAAGCAGGGTCCCTAAGTAGAATCCCAAGAGAGCTCCAAGAGGGCACCAAAACCCCTCCAAAGAGACCGAAGGTGCCCCCGACACCCCCACGAGCAACCAAAGATGGCCCCAAGGGGGCCCCGAGAGGGCCAAACAGGTCCCCAACAGGGCCATAAGAAGACTCCCAGATGGCTGCCAGAGTCGTCCTCATCCTCCCCGTCCTCGTCCTCCAGCGCCTCGTCCTCCTCCTCTCCATTCTCCTCCTCGTCGTCCTCCTCCTCGTCCATCCCTGTCGCCCTCGTCCTTTTTCTCCGCATCCTCGTTCTAATCCCCGCCCTCGGCCTCGCCATCGTCTATTGCCTTCTCGTCCTCTTCATCCTCCTCCGCCCCCCACCTCCTCCTCCTCGTCCTACACTTCTTCTTTCTCCTCCCCCTCCGCCTCCTCCTCGTCCTCCTCCGCGTCCTCGTCATACTTCCCGCCCTCCGTCCGAATACCTACACTCATCCTCGTCTGCCTTCCCCTCATCTTCCAGGCACTCCCCCTCGTCCTCGTCCTCCTCGTCATCCTCGTCAAGCTTTTTCGCATCCTCGTTCTTCTCCCCGCCCGCCCTCGTCCCTCGCCCGCATGGTTACCCGCTTTGACCAACTACATGTGTCTGTTCCTACCATTTCCCGTCAGCTCGTTAATGGGCAAGCGTTTCTTCATGCGCTGCTGAAGATACGTGAGGAGTGCAGGATTGGCATCTCTTCGGGGCGCATCGTTTTGTTCGGCCACCTTCCGCGCCGAGCTTCTGCCAGCGGCGCCCCTTTCGTTTCACTGCCGCCGCCTTCCGCCGCGGAAAGGCCGACGACTTCTCTGATGCTCGAAGGCTAGGCCCTCTCTGCAGGGCCTCTTAGACAAACGTTCTCAGGTCCGCGCAGATCTCCTGGGTCGGAGCTGGATCTTCGCCCCCAGCGCGCCGGAGCGCGCCAGCAGCGGCGCTGCTCCGCCCAGGGGCGGCCGGCGACATCCAAGAAACTCGAGCGGGCACCTCGACATGCACAGCCATCGGGCTGCCAAGCGGAACGCCAGATAAGGAACGAAAGGGCGTTTTTGAAGGGGCCCTGGGACACACACAAATAAGTAAACACAAATAACAGGAGTCCCCATTTGTTCTTATATTTTCAGGGTTTTTGTCTTCCCCCCCACTTCCCATATGTTCCCATACTTTCTGGGGAATCGACGATAAATTGTGTCTGTGTGTTGTTTCCCCTCCTGAATCTCGAAATGCACAGCCATCGTGCTGCCAAGCGGAACGCCGGATAAGGAACGAGCGGGCGGTTTCAGGCCGCGGCGAGCCTTAGCCATCAAGGTCCCCCGACCCAGATTTCACAGGAACGGCCAGCGATCTGAAGCACCGCCTGAGCCCAACATGGCCTGTATGTTATTGAATGCGCTATGGACTTGTTCCGACTCATATCTTGATAACGGTGCAGTCAATCACACCGGCTGTCATGGATGTTCAAACCAATTATCTCAGTGCGACCCTACCTAGGAGTTGGAGTATCTAGGAAAGCAGCATCTACATCTACACCGACAGCTACATTAACATCCACACCTGCATTTACATCTACATCAACATCAACAGCGAGACTCACATCTACATCGACATCTACACCTACATCTACACCTACATCTACATCTACATCTACATCTACACCTACATCCGCATCTGCACCTACAGCTACATCTACGCTCTGTTAAGGCTGTTCAGCACTGCTCGCGGCTCCTGCAAGAACTGCAGGCTGTTCTGCACTGCAGGTCCGGCTTTGCGTTGATTGTGCTTTGCTTTGCTGTTGCTGCTGTTGTTTTGTCTTTGCTTTGCTGCTATGCTATGCTATGCTATGCTATGATATGCTATGCTGCGCTATGCTATGCTATGCTATGCCTTGCTATGCTGCGCTATGCTGCGCTATGCTATGCTATGTTATGCTAGGGTACGCTCGGCTGCGCCGTGTTATGCAAGGCGATGCTATGCTATGCTATGCTGCGCTATGCTATGCTATGCTATGATATGCTATGCCGTGCTATGCTATGCTATGCTATGCTAATGCTGCGCTGCGCTGCGCTAAGCTAGGCTAAGCTAAGCTGCGCTGCGCTGCGCTGCGCTGCGCTAGGCTAGGCTAAGCTAAACTAGGCTAAGCTAAGCTAAGCTAAGCTAGGCTAAGCTAAGATGAGATAAGCAACGCTAAGCTAAGGGAGCGTCACCGGGGCGGATCCTGGGGGAACCGCCCGGGGAGATTTACACTGCCCGGCCCTTTAAGCACACACACGATAAAACCCTTCTAGGCAGAGCCTAGGTAGGGAATAAACTTAAGAAAAGCACCCGCGCCTAAGGATCCAACATGGCCTCTATTTCAGCGACTGACTGTATGCTTGTGCCGTCAACGGTTCGTCGATCGATGGCTCTGCTCGGTGTTATCTTGTCGGGGTGGCGGCACGCACCGCGGGGCAGGGCAAGGGAGGGAACGGCCTTTTGTACCCGAGAAAGCCCTCCGCCTCCTGGCGCGAAGCCGGGCGCACTGCGCGAGGCCATCTGCGGGAGGGGGGCCGAGGCCTTCTGTGCATGGCGCGGGGGGGGGATCCAGAGCCACCGACGGGCAGTGATGTGGTAGCCCTGGGGACCGAAGCGGGCCTCCAGAGCCCAGGGCTCTCCCAGCACGTTGCTCGCCTTCTTGATGGGCGAACAAACATAGAGATAGAGACACCGCTGCTCCCCGGACGAATCCAACCCTAGCGACGAGGGAAGGGTAGCAAAGGCAAAGGCAGAGGCAACTCACAGGTCGCACCTGAGGGCTGCCGCGCGCGGAGCAAGGGGGAAGTGCCGGGGCGCTGCTCATTCAGTCGCTTGACACATATGAATGCCCAGTCCTCTCCAACTCTGACAAATTCTCTGCGATAGACATCATGTTGTTTCCACCGCCGTGGTGTCTTCGCACTGTCGCCGTAAGATCGTCGGCCCACCTCCGGGCGGGTTTTCCTGTTGGCCTCTGTGCTGGTATCGGTGTATTCCCCCCTTCTGACGTCACGGCTCCTACGCCGTACGCTCAAAGTCAAGAGCTGCCCCTGCGCTGCGCAAGTGCTCTGTGGTGCCCTGTGTTTGGTGCCCTGTGGCGCTGCGGTGCCACTGTGGTTGGGGCCGCGTGGGCGGCGAGCCAAGGGAGGACGCGATAAGGGGCAGGCCTCCTCAGAAGGCGGCGGGGTTTCACTGAAGCCCTTGCGCCTTCCGAGAAGTCTTCTCAACCTTCTCCGAGGGCAGGGGCGGCTTCTCAGAGGCCGGAGGGCTTCTGAGACGCTTCACCGCCCCCTGGGAAGGCCTGCGCGCCTCTCGCTCCCCCCCTCCCCCCGGGCCCGCCGCTGAGCGGTGCCCTGTGGTCCGTGCCTGTGACGCTGCGGTGCCATGGTGGCCAGTGCCGCGTGGCTACTGCCCTGCTCGGGGTGCGCCGTTGATGGCGCGACGCGGTTGGGAAATGCGGCTGGCTCGTGTCAGGACCACCGTGCTTTGGTTTCTGACACCGCTTTGATCGCTCAACCTTGACCGATCGAGTCTGGGCCACTGGCAGCGTGCTTGAACGCCCGCGCTGGGACGTCGCCACGTCGACACGACAAGAACCTGCCGTACCCTGCGGCGCCCTGGCGGCCGCGGTTGGCCGTTCGCCATGCTTACCTTATGTTACGGCTTGCACCGCCTGGAAAGAGCCAACACAACGGGTAAGCTGGACCCGCTTCTCGGGCCCCGCGCGCCAGCGTCACTCTGATGCCAAAACGGCCGTCATGGCGCTCATGCCAAGAAAGTGTCGAGACGCAGACCCGTCGGGGTCTTGGGAATACGGGTGCGGATCAAATTCCCCCACATCCTGGCTGATAAGATTGCGATATCAGACAATCCCAGACTCATTCCCGTCCCTCTCTATCTTCTCCTGGCTTCCCCCTCCTCGGATGCACTTTGCGCGAGTCCCTCCATTCTTTTCTTTCGCCCGGGTGAATGCCATGACAAGCCCGATGAGCAGCAGACAAATGGATGAGGATTCCTTAGGTTGCTCAATGATTCGAGCTACTGAAATTGAAAACTGGCCTGCGCCTGCTCAGCGAGAAGAGAGGAGGCGTAGTCGATCCAAAACTCGTGACATGGCGGTGGACAGCGCGATCACTTCGCACTGGAACGGATAATGTGCAACGTCTATGTACACATATTCCAAGCCTGCAAGGTCGAGCGTTTGCCCGGACACCGCATGCACGGTCCAAGCAGCAGATCCGTGACCGTCGCGGTAACCTCCGTCACTGGTGACCACAACATGTTCCATCAACGCGTCCCCGTCCTTCCCGTGCCAAAGCATGGCGTCCCGGTCGCGCAGCGCCACGTTCGCAAGATGGTCCGCTCCCTTGTTCCACCCCCTCGGGACCCACTCCACAAAGGATTCGTGATACCGCGGAGGCGCCAACCGAGACGGCACAACGAATGTTGCATATTACTGATGCGATTGAAAACATGCGTGTAGGTGTCATCCGTGAGCTCCATCTCGCCGTTCACCAGCCGGCCCGCTGACTGGCAATCCACGAAGAAAACGATGCGCTTGCCCGCCTCGCCGAAGAGGCACCACTCCGGCAAAACAACCGGCGGCGTGTCTGCAATATCGAGCCCAGCATCCACGTTCACAGGCGCCCATCTCACTGCCGACATGGTTTCCAGCGGGAGCGGCACATGCCAACGCTCACACAGGCACCGAGCGAAAGCGTCGAAGTTGACCATCCACCCGGCTAGACAGCTGTGGGAGTGACGAAAGGAGCGCCAATCCTCCCCGTATGATGCCACGAAGAAATCTTCTCAAGCAGCGACGTGGCCTTGAGATGTTTGCAAGAGTCCCTCGCGGCGCCGCTTAGCAGCAGGCTCATCTTTGATAGGGCCCCGCCAGAGCGCCGAACGTGCAGAACGGAGGTCCTGTAGAGGGGACGCGTTGCTCCCAACTCGGAGCCGCGACTCCCGCCATGCCGCCTTAAACACTGCCTTCAGAATACGTACATGGATGAGCTGGAAAAATGGAAGAATCCGAACCACGAGCTGATCTTGGCAGCTGTCTGGGTATTGAGCTCCATCAACCCCTCTTCCGGCCTGCGCTTCAATCGCAACATGCTCCGCAGGCGCTTCAGCTCCCAAGTGCGGGCTGCATGGAGGAGGCCGCTGGACATGTTAAGGGTACCGGCCCCTAGCATTGCCGACGCCCCAGGATCCTGCACCCACGCCCGGAGACGTTGTTGCAAGCCGCCGCGAGACTGGAGAATGCCAATCTTGGAGTGGACTTGCCGTCTGCTTTCTGGCGCCGGTGCTCGAAGCTCTCGCCACTGCTTCCACTGCTGGACGAGCGCAATCACCTGGCCCTTCCAGCTGCACTAGTCCCAGCCCAATGTACGAACCGCATCCTCCTGTATGCACTTCCAACTGTATCGGAGGGGAAACAAACAAGCAACACACGTACGCACTAATTAGCTGGGGGACCGCGGGAAACTCTGATAGGTTATGGTTATGGATGTGTTACCAGTCGACTGCAAGAGTCCCCTTGAATACCACCTTGCCCTTCTACTTGCACCAATCACAACTGCACCACACTCCTTCCCAAGCACCAGTGCCACGGCTTCCCCTCCACGGGCGCCACACGGGAGCGCCGCCACCTGTTCTCATACCTTGCGCGATTTTGCATGATGGGGGCCGTGCCCATCACACCCTACGAGCCCCACTCTAGAGAAGCAACAAAGGGGGTTAACATAAACAGTCGGTGGTCCGACCAGATCTCGTGGATTGGCACTGCGACCCCCTGGCGCGCTGCAAGGGCAGGGAGATGGCTCCAGCGCCGCTTAGTTGTTTCCTCTTCGACACTCGCACCCAAGCTACGGTTCCCCCCGCGCGGGAGCGCCGACACGCATCCTCAGGCCCTGCTGTAGTATTCCGTGTATCGTGCCCTTCGCACTCCACGGGGAGGGCGGGGGGAATAGGAGGCGGAGCAGCGAAGAGCGGTGCGGACGAGGAGTCAAAGGAAATAACATGGATGGAGACATGATGAGCCCCTGATTACTCCCGCCCCTGGTTCATCACCATCCTGCTCGAGCGCGCGACCCAATCAACAAAAAAAACCAATTGCGGCCACTACCATTCCATGGACTGTTGTTTGGTTCAGGCGTCGTGCCCTTCCACCTCCACGACGAGGGTGGTGAGGAGAAGGAGGAGGAGCAGCAGGGGAGGGGGGAGGACGTGGAGGAGACATGTGAGAAGATAGACACCGAAGCCCGCGCGCGCGACCCGAGGAACCATCATGCCCCCTGTGTTTAGAGCAGGGCGGGATGGGACAACGGTGGCTGCAAATCGGCCCAAGGACACCTCCCAAGGTCCAAACGTGACAATTGTCCGAGCCGCGTCCAGCCGCAACGACGAGGGGGTACCCCGAAGGCCGACTGCCGTTGTCTCAACCTGGCCCTCCTTGCGTGTGCGGGGAACTCGTGACGGCGAGCGGGCACCCCAAAGGCAAACTGGCGTCTTAGCTGGCCCTCCTCTGGGCGTGTGGAGAGAACTCTGGTGGCATTTGATTCCGAGGTCCGAGGACGCCGACTTACCTACCGGCTTACCGCGGCGCCCAGGCCCCCGCCTTTTTGGAAGCGACCCCGTCTGCGCATGGCCCCAACGTCCACCGAGCGGCCAAGCGCTGGAAACTCCAGCCATCTGCCAGAAGAGGGAGGTGACCAGCCGGGAAGCAGAAAGGAGGGAGGGAAGGAGGGGAGGAAGGGATGCGGAGCAGAAAGAGAGAGAGGATTTGGAGGAAAGAGGGTGAAAGATGAGATGAGGACGAGGATGAAGGAAGAGAGGGGGCAGGGCGCGGTGGAGCGAGGGAATCGAGGAGGGGGGAGGAGAGGAGCGAGGAAGGAAGGAGGTAGAAGGGCAAGGAGGACGAGGGTCTGGTGGCGTTGCATTGTGATGTTCGAATGAGGAGGAGGAGGAGGAGGAGGAGGAGGAGGAGGAGGAATAGGAGGAGGGAAGGGAGGGAGGGAGGGAAGGAGGAACGGAGAGGAGGAGAGAGGAGGGGGAGAGAGGAGTAACGGGAGAGGAGGGAGGAGAGGAGGGAGGAGAGGAGGGAGAAGAGGAGGGAGGAGGGGGAAGGGAAAAGGAGGACGAGAAGGGCTTCAGGCTGTTCGTGGGGGTCACTGGGGCTCTGGGCCTGGATGGGAGGGTGAGAGGAGAGGGAGGGTTAGGGAAGGATGAGGTGGACGAACAAGATGAGGAATGGGAGGAAAAAGGCAGGGAGGGAAGGGGATGGAGGAAGGGGGAAGGAAGGAAGGGATGGGAGCCTGGAGGCGAAAGGAAGGGCGGAGGGTTGGAAGGCCAGGGAAGGGCGGGGGGTAGAGGGAGGGGAGGCAAGAAGGGAAACCAGGGTCGAGCACTTGCGCAACAGACGTGCATATGCCGCGGTTTAAATGGACGCGGGTCAACGGGGCGTCAGAATCAGCCAGGACGCGAGGTAGAGAGAGAGGGAGATGCCCCTGAAAACTTGAAAAATGGCTGTCAACGCTGCCCTTCGGCGCGTGCTCTGCAACAAGTCGAATACCCATCTCTCCTGCATCTCGTCGCCACCCCAACCCCGACGCACATCCATTTCATATTCCAGGCGCAACTCGGGGATGGACAGAACCCCCTTAAGTAAAACGTGATTTAGTGGGAACGACCTCGGGCCCAAACCTGGCGGCCGCAAGCCTGGAAAATCACGGCCACAGCGCCCTCTCGAGAACCGAAAACGGACAATTCAGTAATCGACGTGTCAGCGGGGGGTTCTGTCCACCCCCGAACAACGGGAAGCGGCGTCGCAGACGTCTGCCAGCGGAGTACATATGCGATATGCTTACTGCTCGTGCCTGCCCCTGCTCTCATTCCCTCATCCCACTACCCTCGACTGCCGGTCATCCTCCTCTCCCTCCTCCCCTCCTCTCCCTCCTCCCCTCCTCCCCCTCCTCTCCCTCCTCCTCCACAATTACTCAATATGAATACTACTCTCCCTCTTCCCCTGATGGCGTGCTGGGAGTGGCCGACCCCCCCCCCGCGTACTGTACTTTTACACACAGGATTCCCGGGAGTTGGGTTTTCGCCTGCGTTTTTTCCCTAAATGCTGCTCTCGCTGAGGCACCGGCCTCATTTCTGCTCCCGAATCGTTCCGAATCGTGCTCCCGCTGCAGCGTGGGCCTCATTTTGGGATCGGTGTTTTTGCTTCCGTCGTTCAGGATGGCGTTCTCACCCCAGCGCGGGCCTCTTTCTCGCGCGCCCATCCGCCCGCCACCACCGCGCCGCACCACGCCCCGCCCCGCCGCACGCACACCCACCGCCACTTCCACCCACCAACGCACGCACGCACGCACGCGCACCACCACCGCGCACCGCCACCACCACCGCACTACCCTACCCACCACCACCACGCTACACCGCGTCACACCGCATCACACGCGCGCACACACACACGCACGCACGCACGCACACACACACATACACACGCACACACACACACACACACACACACACGCACGCACAGACACACACACACACACCACCACCGCCACCACCACCACCGCCATCACGCACGTACGCACCTGGCCCACCACCAAACCACCAAGACGCCACACCACGTCACACCAGAACACACGCGCACACACGCACACACACACATACACACCACCACCACAACAACCACAACCACGCACACACGCACGCATGCACGCGCACCACCACCCACTACGCACACGCGCGCGGAGCCACAGGTCCGCAACGACACGCGTCCGCGGATAGAGAAAATCAGCGCCATGGTAAGGGATGGGAGGGAGGGGTAGGATGTCAGATGTTGACGCGAGCGCACCTAACTTGCCTCCTCCCCCTCCTCCCTCTCCCCCTCCTCCCACTACCCCTGCTCCTCGCCATCCTCTCCCTCCTCCCCTCCACTCCCGTCGGTCATCCTCCCTCGACTGCCCCTGCTCTACAGCCAAGATTTCGAGGCGAATTCAGTCATGTCGAGAATTCGCCAGCCCTCCTCGAGGGGGCCATGAGTGTGTGCGGCCTACATCGCAGTAGCAGATCACCGCCGCAGTCAGTAACTCCGAACTGTTCAGCGTCTCTGTTGCGCAGTGACTGAGGTCCGAGCTGTTCAGTTGGTCACGTTGGTGTTATTTTGAATCGGTAAACGTGCGCGACGCCCCCTAGGCACAAGTCGAGCGTTTTACCTCTGTCTGTTTGCGCTGCTTGAGCATATTGTGACTATCTACCAGACCACCCCAACCCAACCAAAGACCCGAATGTTACCCGAATTTCGGGTTGGGGGGGGGGGTACGGGTTCCATGTGCGTTTGCTACGTTCCCCGACCCCCCCCCCACTGAACATGGAAAACAAGTTGAAGCCTCTGGGTTGGGTTGGGGTGGTTTGGTGCGTGGTGATAATGTTCGTTAGACTCAATGGGTCCCCGCTCCACAACGTCACGAACCCTCGCAAAAGAGTTGGACCCGCGCTTCAGGATTCAAGATCCCTCGGGGCCAGAAACTGATCCATCCGCACTCTCGATGTCAAGATCCCGCGCGTGTCCGACGCCACGACAATTCGTGCAACAAGCGCTTCCGCGCCCCCGAAGCCACAATGCCTAACAAATGCAAGTTGATCCGCGCTCCCGAGGCCACGATTCCGTGTAGAACTAGTGGGTCCACTCACCGAACTCGCCGAACTAGCCCATCAGCCAATCAACTAGCTAAGCAGCCAACCGTCCATCGCGACGGCCAGCCCACAGGCCGAGCGAGTTGTCAGACTAACAACTCATGAGCCAGTCATCCAACCAACCCAATCGACACAACAACGTCAAAGGGCATGAGGCCAGGCGGCATAAGGCGAATTCCTTAAGATAAGACCCCTCGTCGTCGCCGACTTCCTCCTCCTCCTCCTCCTCCTCCTCCTCCTCCTCCTCCCCCTCCTCTTCCTCCTCCTCCTCCTCCTCCTCTTCCTCCTTGATGCTCCTCCTCTCCTCCTATTCCTACTCTTCCTCCATTCCTCCTCATCACTCTCCGGATGCCTCCAGGGTCCCCAGAGGTTACCGAAGGACTCTTGGGGCCCAAGGAAAAGCAAGAACGCCCAAGAACCGCAATCCTCAATCCACGTCCACCGCCGCCTCTTCCTTTTCCTCCGTCTCTTCTTCTTAATATTGTTCGTATCGTGTGTACTGCACTCATCATCATTCGTGTTATTATTGGTACGAGCATCATCACCATCATCATCAAACTCATCGTCATCAGAAACATCATCAACATCATAATAAGAAGTGTTATTAACATTGGTACTTCGACAAATAGTATGAATATCGTCGTTCGCTTGGTCATTCTTCTTCAAAT